GGCGGTATGCTTCCTGCCAGCCCCTGTCTCCCTAAGGAAAAGAGGAGAGGAAGGGGTGGGACGACTCACGTCCAGTGTCTACTTCCAGTCGCTACAATAAGTGAGGGAGTGAGGAGGCCCAAGAGTGTATGGGAGGGAAAAGGTACCAAGAGTGATGTACCTCTTCCTTATTAACATTCATCTTTGATAACTACCTTCTTTCATTCATTAATTCATCCTTCATATATTGAGTATCCGTCATGTGCCAAGGACTGTGTTAGCCCCTGGGGATACAAAGATGATTCATCCCTGCTCTAAAGAAATGTGGGATTTATTGCAGGAGACAGCTGGGAAACGGGTAGCTCACACTGACAACACTGGGACAGAGATGCACATAGGTGCCACAAGAGACTTGGGAGGGATTTGGGTCCAGATGCGGAGCCTCAGGTAAGATTTTTTTGGAGTGAGTGACTTCTAAGCTGTTTAGTAGGATTATCATTCTGGTGTTTTAAGTCTGAGAGAGAAGGTAGAACTTCTCTTCAGAAACCAGCTTGTGGGTGGAAGGAGGGGGTGTCTAAAATTGGATTACCACTGGATAAAAATTTAGAGCAAAAGTATCATTTCATAAATTCTGTGCTTTCTTAGAAATTAAAACCACAGGATGATTGGATCCTGGTTATCTTTGTCAGTTTATTAGAGCTCAACTTTAGCGAGGAGAAACGTCACAACAGAGTATTAAGTACAGATGTTCAGTATCCCAACAGTATGTCTGAAACTGAGGCTTTTTCAAAAACACTAACTGTATAACCTAGGACAGCCTTTCCTATTGAGGGGTTTAAGATGACTTGCAATAAAAAAAGATTTAAAAAATAAAAGTAGGAAATCATACCCATGATCACCTATATTACCAGCTTTTCTGGGCCTGGACTCCCGTGTCTGTTGGAATAATACTTTGCTCTACACACTCTCGTAGGTAGATTGTCAGGATGAACTGGGGTGACAGATGTGCTGTGCTATAGACAGTTAAAAGTCCAAGACATCATTTTTAATATGCTCTTATAATGAAATACAAATGGATACCAGCCTAAAGCAGAGTATATATTTTTAAACTAATCAGTTGCCTCTGGCACCAATATGCAACTTTGCAGCTGTGGCCAGGAAAACAGGGTAAGGCAGATTTGGGGAGGGACATGTTTGCCTATAAAATAAATATATTTTAATGGGAAAAATCTTTACCAGTGCCTTAAAAAACAGAGTAGTGAGGGTGGAAATAAACGTTCTGCTGTCTCTCAAGAAGGGCATTCATACTGTTGATTCGTTCGGAGAAAGATTTATATACTATGCCTGATCTCTTTAGGATACCATGACAAATAGAAAAGATAACTGGTAAGAGTAATTCACAATGGATGGGTTCCATTGCCGCTGATTAACTGGGTTTAGATACCCAGTGAGAGAATATCGCTTCCTTCATTCATTCAATAAATAGTTATTGACCATCCACTATGTGCCAGCAGTGTTCTAGATGCTAGGATTCTGCAGGAAATGAAAGAGATAAAAATCCCTGATCCTGCAGAGCTTTCATTTTACAGAAGGAAGAAAGGCGATAAATAAAATAATAAGTGTAATAGGTAGGAGTGATGTAAGGTGGTGATACGTAAGTGCTACGTAGGGAAATGAAGCACAGAGGGGTTGGGATTAGTGGGGGTGGGATACAACTTAAATAGGATGGTTGGAGAAGGCCTGTCTGAGAAGGGGAGATTTGAACAAAGGTCTGACAGAGGTGAGAGGGTGAGCCATGAGACTAGAGGGAAGAGCTTTCCAAGCAGGAGGATCAGACAGTCCAGCCCGTGTGTTTA